ATCTCAGTAAAGCTCTTTAAAAAGCAATAATAAACACAGTAGTTATCAGAATAAATATGAATGGGATAAAATCTCAAATAAAAAGATAGTGATGACTCAGAACCACACAAATATTCTGAACTGATTTTTTTTTTTTTTTACAAAGGAAGCAAAAGAAGAAGAAAATTTTAAATGCATCACAAACTTAAATGTAAAATGATAAAACTTTGAGAAGAAAACATAGGGAAAAAATCTTTTTTTAAAATATATTTTATTGATTTTTTACAGAGAGGAAGGGAGAGGGATAGAGAGTTAGAAACATCGATGAGAGAGAATTATCAATCAGCTGCCTCCTGCACACCCCCTACTGGGGATGAGACTGCAACCCAGGTACATGCCCTTGATCGGAATCGAACCCGGGACCCTTCAGTCCGCAGGCCGATGCTCTATCCACCGAGCCACACCGGTTAGGGCGGGGAAAAAGTCTTTGTGATCTTGGACTAGGCAAAGAGTTCTTACTATTGACATCAAGAGTACAATCCATAAAAGGAAAAATTGATAAACTGAACTTCGTTGAAATTAAAAACCTTTGATCTGTAAGGTGTGCTGTTAAAAGGATGAAAAGACAAGGTACAGATTGGGAGAAAATGTTTATAATCCACATATCTGACAGAGCACTAGTACCTAGAATACATAAAGAACTCTCAAACTTAACAGAAAAAAAAATTAAGGTAGAGCATGGGTAAAGACATGGAGAGACATTTCACTGAAGAAGATATATAAATGGCAATTGAGCACATGAAAAGATGTTCAATATCATTAGCCATTGGGGAAATGCAAATTAGAGCCTTGATGAGATGTCACTATAAACCTATCATCATAGCTTAAATAAAAGATAGGTAACACCGAATGCTAATGAGGATGTGGAGAAGCTGTATCACTGTATAATACTGATGCAGATGTGAAATGATGTAGCTATTCTAAAAAACAGTTTGTCAGGTTCTTTTAAAACAAAGCGTGCAATTACCATATAACCTGGAAACTGCAAACTTGGACATTTCTACCAGAGAAGTGAAGACTTTGTTCATACAGTGAATGTTTGTACTAATTCTGTTGATAACAGCCAATGAATGGATACAACCCAGATTCTCTTCAATGAATGAGTGATTAAGCTGTGGAACACTCATACTACAGAATACTTCTCAGCAACAAAAGAGAATAAACTATTAATACTCAACAACCTGGATGACTCAATAGAAAATTATGTTGAGTGAAAAATGCCATTACCATATGCTGGACCTGCGAACATGGGGTTTCTCCACCTTCGCAGCCAAGTCAGGCCGCCTCAGCAGCCGAGGCACCAGAAATCCTTAGCCGCAGCTTAATTCAGAGCACATGAAGCTGTCTCAGGGGCCACATCGCTGCCAGTGAAAGAAAGAGGCTCTTTCTTTTTAAAAGTTATCCAAACATGGAAACTTCTAAGTGTTCAAAATATTATGCACCTGATTCTGCTTTGCTCCACTGATACACATGATGGCGTCATTATTGTCCCTTTTGTTCCTCCATTTACCCTCCTTGGCATTTGTAGCTCTAAACTGCAATTCAAAGCAAACTATTTTAGTTGTCAGACTAACTGCTTTTTCTTTACCAGTAAATGTAAATATAGTGTCCCCAGAGCAGGCTTGCTGTCAGGCCGGCCAACAAACCTGGAGGCCAGCATGGAGAGGACCAAGCCAGTTATAGTTGAGCCCGTTCCCTGCTACTGAAAATACGTGCCCGTGTGGAGTTGCTTGCTACTAAAAGTTTTGTGTGACACAGATGAAAGCCTTGTTAAAATATTCAAAACGTGTTAAAATGTATTTTGAATTCGTCATCTCTGTTTCATCAATAACATGCTCTGTCTTCAGAGATGCATTTCAGTATAAGTAGCATCAACGGAGGAAAGTTAGTGACAGTGGCTCTGGCCTCTTCTCCAAACTAGCTTGAACTAGCATATGACCAGAGGATATACTCTGTCTTTAAAAAAATGATGATTCATAGTTAATAATTCTTTTGATGTTGACTATCTTTCCCACTTCTGGAAATAAGTTCTTACAGGTTATCTTTTAATTAGGAGAACAATTCTATCATTTATTTTCAGAAAAATTCATAATACTTAGGAAACCCTTCTTTCTTTGGCAGTTGTCCATGGTCATGAAGAAATGTAATAGAAAATAACTGTGGACCCCTGGAAGGTTGGCAACCGCTGATATAGATCAATGGGGAAAAAATTGATTTTTTAAAAAGGTATCAAATTAATATGCAGAGAAAGTGTGGTCTTTTGAACAAATGATGCTGAAACAGCTAAATATCCAAACAAAACAAAAAAACCCACTTGGGCCCATATTTAATATGTTATACAAAATCAACTCAAAATGTATTATGCATCTAAATGTAAAGCCTGAAACTATAGAACTTCTAGAGGGAAACATAGGGAAAAGTTCTGCAGAGCTTCTAGCCCCCACCCTCACCTGATTACAGAGCCACTCATGTGCGAGCCAATTTTGTAAAGATGCTGCTAGTTTGCATCAGCCCTTGTCTGTACTAAGTTCCCTCCAAGACTGTCAGCTATTCATCTCCAATTTTATCTTTAATTGTAAATTCTCTGTTGTGGAAAAGAATACAATAGATCTTGGTTATGGGAATTAGAATCATATGGAAGAGTCTTCAAATTCCTGTTCTGCTGATCCCTAGTTGGGGGGAGGGGGGGCATGCAGGATATATTTATGCACCCTCATGAATGTTTCTCATATATAGTGTCATCTCCTTTTGTCTATTGCTTTCTTTTTCCCACTTCCATCCTAAATAGTATGTCCACCCATGGATTAATCTGGAATTCTTTCTTTCTCTTTTTCAGCCTCCTTTACTATATCAGCCAGTCTGTAGGCAGATAATTTCTTTAAGAAATCATCATTCTTACATTTTCAAAGGGTATCACAAACACATATTTTATTCCTAATCCTTAGTAGTAAAGAATAGTTTATTTGCCTTTTCTTTTTTCTCAGTAATTGGGATTTGCCTCTTGTTTATGCCTATATTCCCAACTTAACATAAGCTTTATCTCAAATTTACAAATTAAACCTCCAGACCGAGGTGCTAGCAAGAAGCTATGGCACATCAGGAGGTTAGTGCTGACCTAAATGACTAAAGCGTGATTGGTTTACCACTCCATTTATCCCTGCAGAAACCTAATGGAATATGATATGTAATCATGGCATTCCTTAAATTTTATCAATTAGTAGCCCCAACAGTAGCTATTATACCCCATATGGAATTTTTTCTAAAATAGATCAACAACTTCTGGTCTAAGTGGAAAGTGAAAACACTCCCAGTGGAAAGAACTGTGAGCAGTACCTCTAGCTGTAAATTTTGCTTAGAAGAAAAGTGGATGAGGAAGTGATGCTCATGGGCTGTTGGGAAGTGGTGAAAAGCATGGGTGATTGGTCTGAGGCCTGGAAGGAGCAAGATTGAAAGATTGGAGATACAGAGATTTGAAGAATCATGTAGCTATAACTAGGTGTGTGGACAGAAAGTGTTCCTTCTTTGTGTCCCATATCAGTGCCCACAAGAGTATCCACCACTCAGGAGGCACTGGACAATCAGGAGTTCGGGATAGCTCATCCCATCTCCGTCCTCAGGTGCCCCAGTGCTTCCATGATAGACCACAAACAAAGGAGCCGCGGTGGCAGGGACCCAGGCTTTGTGAGGAACCAGACACATGCGCCCCCTCCCACCACAGTTGCCTCTACTGAAGGTGCTACTTGTCAGCAGCAGGGACTGATGTCGAGCCTTTAATATGGTAACATCCCTCTTAAAAACTCATTGAAGCAAGTTGGTTTAAAGTTGGGGATTGTAATGTAGGGTCTATGTTTTGTGAAGAATTACTTAATTCCTTTTTGCTTTAAAACAGGGACGCGGGAGAAGGAGACCACACACGAAGTACATGATGCCAAGAACAAGTCCTGATAAACAAGCCTGTCTTAAGAGGACACAATGGATGCTCAAAATTACTTGATGCGGATGAATTGCATGCGGGGGTGACCAGATCCTGAGAGAATGAAAGTTTCCCTGCATTCGTGAGAGCTCTCCAGCGCCATCATTGCCTGCTAACTGATACTCACCACCACCCTCACTGAAACAGCCATGGCTCGCCGAGGTGTGGGACCCTGACTGGGGAAGAACTCTGTAGACACAGAGGTAACTGCATCTATGGGAGATGATTTTATCCATTGTCAAAGGAGACACTCAAGTGCACAGCTTGCTGGTGGTTAGTCCCAGGTTCATCTCTACTTGTCCCGATAATGGGAATGTAAGTGCCCTTGAGAGGAGCAGGAGGCCCTGTCTTCGATCTCCTCGGTCCATTTTTAGCTACATTGCACAGTGAAATGTTCTCATCTGAACAAATTGAGGATATAACTAGTGAGAGGCTGTTGTGAGGCTCAAAATGGAAACGCATACGGTATGCAATAAGTGAATAGGTCTCTCTATCAGGAATGCTGTGTAATAAAACAAAATGCAACTGGGGATGAATAAGGCTACAGGATTTATTAAGAAATATAGGAGAGAATTCCTGCATCTACAAAGACAGTTCAAAGTGATCATGAAAATAAAAAAGCAGGATATAAGAACCATGAGTATATTGAAAAAGTAACATGAATATGAAGAATGCTATTAAGACCAGCAGCAGAAATCCAAGGAGAAGTAATGAGAGTTTGTTTTCCTAAGTTACTCGGAGGTTAGACTCCACATTGAGGATGCACGAAGCTGGCACATGATCCACAAGATGTAAGAAAAGATCAGGGTGATATCCTCTGCACTCTGTCGGGAAAATTCACAAATTTGTTAACAGGCAAATGAGTCACAAAAATTTTGGTGACCACATACTGGCTTTCAGCAACATTTGGAAGTGAATTTATTTCCAAAATTGCAAGTCAGTTCACAGAAGGTGTTGCGTGCATATGGTGACACTTAAGTCAGGGTGATCAGCAGCAAGAAGGCTGGCAGCAGCTGGACACACAGCATGGGCGGCAGCAAGGCTGGCAGCAGCTGGACACACAGCATGGGCGGCAGCAAGGCTGGCAGCAGCTAGACCCACAGCATGGGCGGCAGCAAGGCTGGCAGCAGCTGGACACACAGCATGGGCGGCAGCAAGGCTGGCAGCAGCTGGACCCACAGCATGGGCGGCAGCAAGGCTGGCAGCAGCTGGACACACAGCATGGGCGGCAGCAAGGCTGGCAGCAGCTGGACACACAGCATGGGCGGCAGCAGCAGCTGGGCCGGCAACAGCTGGATCCACAACAGCTGGATCCACAGCAGGTGGGCTGGCAGCAAGGGGAGCAGCACATGGTGTCAGGTGTAGAAGGTGAGTTTCTGTTCAGAGGTGAGTTTCTCAGGTTCTGAGGACTTCTTCTGTTCTGGGGGTTTTATACACTGGGCTCCAATTTTGGCACCAATCAGTAAGACTTTCTTTGTTTTTGTTTATGTTGTTTTGTTAATCACAGGGAAATTGTCAAGGAGGAAGTTGTTCCCTACGTGATATGAATCTTTAGGAAATAAGTGTTTAATGTGTTCCTTAATTGAGAATAACTCACAGAAACTTTTTCAGATAAAAGGAAGGTGGTCACATAATCATTCCTGCTTTGGTCATATTGTGGTCATATGAGAGAGTCCCTCGTGGCCTCATGAGGGTCAGTGCATGTGTTTTGTGTATTCGGCTGTGCTTACATTGGGAAGTGTCCCTGTGAGAGGGACATGATGCTGGTATGTTCATGGGGTTAAATTGACTCCTGAGTCCTGAGTCCAAGTCTGTTTGCCCACAAAAGCCTGATTCAAGACTGTGACAGGAATCTCTCTGGAGCAACCCACCCCACCTGTGCATCCAGGTTGGATCACAGACACTTGGGTAGAGGATGTTTGGCATATTCTCTTGCATATGCACAGCAGAACCAAAGCAGGTGGGAGGAAACAGAAGCTGGGACTGAGAAAGCATCAATCATTTCACTTCCTGGGTGACCAATGGTCCTGATTGCCCAAAACAAAGGGGTTTCCCAGGATGCGGGACTCTCCAGGGGTGTCACTGGGGCAGTTTGGACAAACCAGGATGAGCTGGTGACTCCAGTCCTAACCTTGTTAACCTGCAGATTCAGTGACCTCATGTCACTGATTACACATGTACTGTGTTTTCTTTTTCTTTCTCATTTTCTTTAATCCCTTCCTTTCTTCCTTCCTTTTTCTTCCTTCTTCCCTCTTTTTCTTCTACTCTCTGTTCCTCCTTCTCTACCTCCTCCTTTCCTTCCTCTTCCTTCTCTTTATCCTCTTTTTCCTCATCTATCTTCTTCTCCTTCTCCTTCTGCCCTAACCCACTTCTCCCATCCACCTCCTCCTCCTTCTACATGCCCTTCTTCACCAGCACTACCGCTTCTTCATACTCTTTATTTTTCTTCTAGAAAGGGTGAGTTTACACTGAATAACACAATATTGGATGCAAGTGGAGAAAATCATAGATTATAGATGAGGTTTTGAATTCCCTACCCAGGTATCTTGGATCGTAGTGTGTTCAGGGCAATTTCTGCCAATAGACCTGCATCTCTGTGCCTCAGGGGTATTTTCTTGCAACCACAGAAAGTTGTGATGCCTGTGTGTGTCACAACCACTGCTTCTGGAGAGGGTTATAAGGAGGCAGCTCCTAAATTATTTTGGATAATCCTAAAGTGTGTGCTTGCATCGTTTCTGATATTTCCTCTTAGGCATAAGCTGCAGTTGGCCACAATGATACTGGCTTAATGTGCCGCTTTCCTGTATCAGGTCCACACTCTCCAACTAGTGACACCTGTGCTTTCCAAGGCCACCCCATGCACTTGAATCTGTTCTTCAGAGTGCCTTCTGGGAGAAACCTAACTATGACATTTCTTTACATCCTCAGTCTCAATATCCTCATCTGTACAATGGAACATTTATAACAGCATTGAAAATTTCTTCAAGAATTAAAGATATGTAGCTGAAGCACCGAGGGCATACCCAACAAATAGTAAGTCACCCAGAACATGTTAGTTTCTCATTTTAATCATCCGAACGCACACGAAGGACCAGCAGTCAGTAAGTTTGGTCTTAGCAGTCTCTCCTGAGCATCCCCGATGCACCATCTCAAAGGGAGCACGTGTCCTGGATACCAGCCTGTTGAGCTCATCAGAGGCACCAATACTGCTCCCAAAGAGGTGATCCAGGTTCCAGACTCTCCTACGTCTCTCAGACCCAGTCTCAAGCCTTACCTCAATGCATATTCAGGCAGCATTGTTAGTTCAGGACCACAGGGCAGCCTCTGTCCAGCATGACTAGGGGGAGTGCTCAGGCTCCTCGACTTTTCTTCTTTCTCACACTATTTCAGTTCCCCTGGAGCACAGGTTTTTATTTCTCTCCAATGCTTCAGAGTTGACTCACAATACACAAGAGATGGTTCTGTTTCCTTAAAAGGTTCAGGTTTTATGAATTCCTCTAAGTCATACGTGCCCATTGCGTATTTTTCAGGTCCCAACTCACTTCTCTTACTAATATTTTGGTCAGAATGACAAGTGGCCTTAAAGTTGGGGAATGTAAAATGTTCTGTAGGAGATGACTTCATTCCCTTTTATTCTAGTCTATAGGTAACTCGGGAAGGAGGCCATCCAAGAATTTTATTTCCATGAAAGCGAAGAACAGTTCTCTTTAGATGAGCCTCTTCCTGGTGGGGACACTGGATACACCCGAATATTGGATGCCCGTGATGCATGAGTGGCGGACAGGATCTGAGACAGGAAACGATCCTGCACGTAGGAGAGCTCTAAACTGCAAGCCTTACTGCCCTACCATGTATCTGAGGTGGGGACACTGATGTGGGGAGAACTTTGTAAATAGGTGTTATGTGCCTATACGTACAGGAGATTATCACTTCCACAGTCAGAGACACTCAAATCAACATCTTGCCGGTGCTCACTCCAGGCCTTTTTCTGATTTGTCTTATGAAAAAACTTAAGTGCCATTGAGCAGAAAAGCAAAAGATACAGTCTTGGGTCTGAGTGTGTCCCAATCAGCTCTCTAACATGACCATGTGAAATGTTCTCATGTGAGGAGTGGAGATAATTATTTTGGGTGGACTATATGAAGCTCAGAATGAATTATGCATACGATGTGCAACATGTAAGGTAGTGCTGCTGTAAGTCCATCCACCAAGATGCTATACAATAAAACCAAACGCAATATGGAATGCACACAATTTATTAAGAAATAGAGGTACAAATTCCCGTAACCAGGAAGCCAACTCAGTGACTGTGGAAGAAGACAGCAGGATTACAGGAACCAGGAGTGCATGGGAAAAGAAAACAGGATTGAGAAGATTTTCAGCAGTTGCAGAAAACCTATGTAACAGTTACAAGAATTCCTTTTTCTAAGTTACACAGAGGATGAAGACCTGGACTATGGAGTCCAAGCAGAGACCATAGCTCCATATTGAGAATGCAAGAAGCTGACACATGTTCCATACACACAGGAGAAAGAGGATTGGGGACGTTCTCTGCTCTTCATATAGCTGATTTAGATGCTTGTATCAGGCACACCAGTCACAGAAATTTAGGTACAGCATGCTGATTGTCAGCCAAGTCAAGGAAATGCATTTGTTTCCAAAATGGTGGGTCAGATAACTGATGGTTTATGAAGATGGTGGTCCTTTGACAAGGTGATCAGCAGCAGGAAGGCTGACAACAGCTGGACACACAGCAAGGGCGGCAGCAGCAGGTAGGCCGGCAGCAGGTGGTTTTACAGCAGGTGGTCTGACACCATTTTGGACAGCAGCAAGGCTGGCAGCAGCTGGATCCACAGCATGGGCGGCAGCAAGGCTGGCAGCAGCTGGATCCACAGCATGGGCTGCAGCAAGGCTGGCAGCAGCTGGTCACACAGCATGGGCTACAGCAAGGCTGGCAGCAGCTGGATCCACAGCATGGGCGGCAGCAAGGCTGGCAGCAGCTGGATCCACTGCATGGGCTGCAGCAAGGCTGGCAGCAGCTGGACACACAGCATGGGCTAGAGCAAGATTGGCAGCAGCTGGACACACAGCATGGGCGGCAGCAAGGCTGGCAACAGCTGGAGACACAGCATGGGCGGCAGCAGCAGCTGGATCCACAACAGCTGGAGCCACAGCAGCTCGGCTGGCAGCAAGGAGAGCAGCACATGGTGTCAGGTGTAGAAGGTGAGTTTCTGTTCAGAGGTGAGTTGTCAGATTCTGAGGACTTCTTCCATTCTGCGGTTTTATACACTGGGCCCCTAATGTTGGCACCAATCAGTAAGACTTTCCTTGTTTTTGTTTATGTTGTTTTGGTAATCACAGGGAAATATGCAAAGATAAAGTTCTTTCCTACCTGATAGGAATGTTTAGAAAGTAAGTGTTTAATGTGTTCCTTAATTGAGAATAAGTCATAGAAACGTTTTCAGATAAAAGGAAGGTGGTCCCATCATCAGGATGTTTCCTGCTTTGATCACATTCTGGTCATATGATAGAGTCCCTTGTGGCCTCTTGAGATTCAGTATACGTGTTTTGTGTATTCAGCTTTACTTAGTTTTGGAAGTATCCCTGTTTAAACGACACGATGCTGGTATGTTCATGGGGTTAAACTGACACCATGCCTGAGTCCAAGTCTGTTTGCCCACAAAAGCCTGATTCAAGCCTGTGACAGGAATCTGTCTCTGCAGCAACCCACCCCATCTGTGTATCCAGGTTGGGTCACAGACACTTGGGTAGAGGATGTTTGGCATATTCTTTGGCATATGCACAGCAGGACCAAAGCAGGTGGGTGAAAGCAGAAGCTGGGACAGAGAAGGCATCAATCATTTCACTTCCTGGGTGAAAAGAGTCCTGATTGCCCAGAACTAAAGGGTTTACAGGATGCAGGATTCCCCAAGGGTGTGACTGGGGCAGTTTGGGTAAAACAGGAATATTTTTTACTCCAGTCCTAACCTTGTTAACCAGCAGATTCTGGAACTCACATCAGTTACTGCACAATTACTATGTTTACTTTTTCTCTCTTTCTCATTTTCTTCGATCCCTTCTCTTTTTACTTCCTTTTTCTTTCATCTTCTCTCTCCCTTTTTCTCCTTCTCTACCTCCTCCTTCCTTCCTTTTTCTCCTCCCTCTCTTCTTCCTCCTCCTTTTTTCTTCTTCTCTCTCTCTCCCTCACCTGTTCCTCCCCCTCATCCTCTCTACCTTCTACATCTCCTTCTTCACCAGAACTACCTCTTCTTCTTACTCTGTCCTCTTTTCTAGAGAGTGTGAGTTTACACTGAATAATACAATACTGCATGCTAGTGGAGAAAATCATAGATTGTAGATGGGTTTTGAAGTCCCAGCGCATGGATCTTGGATCTTAGTGTGTTCAGGCCCATTTCTGCCAGTAGACTGCATCTCCGTGCCTCAGGGCTGTTCTCTTTTTAAAAAATATGTATTTTGTTGATTTTTTACAGGGAGGAAGGGAGAGGGAGAGAGATAGAGAGTTAGAAACATCAATTCAGCTGCTTCCTGCGCACTCCCTACTGGGGTGGTGCCCCCAACCAAGGTACATGCCCTTGACCGGAATCAAACCTGGGATGCTTCAGTCCGCAGGCCAACGCTCTATCCACTGATCCAAATCAGTTAGGGCTTCAGAGCTGTTCTCTTGAAACAACATGCTGCCTGTGTTTGTCCCAACCACTGCATCTGGAGAGGGTTATAAGGAGACGGCTCCCAAATTGCTCAGTTGGGAATTCCTAAAGTGTGTGCTTACATTGTTTCTGATATTTCCTCTTAGGCATAAGCTGCATTGGCCACAATGATACTGGCTTATGTGCCCCTTTCCTGTATCATGTGCACACTCCCCCACCAGTGACACCTCCACTAACCAAGTCCACTCCATGCACTTGAATCTGTTTTTCAGAGTGCCTTCTGGGAGAAACCAAACTATGACATCCCTTTACCTCCTCAGTCTCAATATCCTCATCTGTACAATGGAACATTTATACCTGAGTGGAAAATTTCTTCAAGAATTAAAGATATGTAGATGAAGCACCGAGGGCATACCCAACAAATAGTAAGTCCCCCAGAACATGGTAATTTCTCATTTTAATCATCCGAACGCACACGAAGGACCAGCAGTCAGTAAGTTTGGTCTTGGAAGTCTCTTCTGAGCATCCCCGATGCACCGTCTCAGAAGGGAGCACGTGTCCTGGATACCAGCCTGGTGAGCTCATCAGAGGCAACGATACTGCTCCCAAGGAGGTGATCCAGGTTCCAGACTCTCCTACGTCTCTCAGACCCAGTCTCAAGCCTTACCTCAATGCATGTTCAGGCAGCATTGTTAGTTCAGGACCACAGAGCAGCCGCTGTCCAACATGTCTATAGGAGTCTCAGACTCCTCAACTTTTCTTCTTTCTCACATTATTTCAATTCCCCTGGAACACAGGTTTTTATTTCTCTCAAATGCTTCAGAGTTGACTCACAATACACAGGAGATGGTTCTGTTTCCATAGGAGGTTCAGGTTTTATGAATTCCTCAAAGTCATACGTGCCCATTGCTTATTTCTCAGGTCCCAACTCACTTCTCTTACTAATATTTTGATCAGAATGACAAGTTGCCTTAAAGTTGGGGAATGTAAAATGTTCTGCAGGAGATGACTTCATTCCTTTTTGTTCTAGTCTATAGGTAACTCGGGATGTAGGCCATCCTACAATTTTATTTCTGTGAAAGTGAAGAACAGTTAGTTCTCTTTAGATGAGTCTCTTCCTGGTGGGGACACTGGATACTCCCAAATATTGGATGCCCATGATGTGTGGGTGGCGGACAGGACCTGAGACTGGAAAGGATCCTGCCTGTAGGAGAGCTGTAAACTGCAGACCTTGCTGCCCTACCATGGAACTGAGGTGGGGGACACTTATTTGGGGAGAACGTTGTAAATAGGTGTTATGTGCCTATACATACAGGAGAATATCACTTCCACTGTCAGAGACACTCAAATTAACATCGTGCTCGTGCTCACTCCAGGCCTTTTTCTGATTTGTGTTGAGATAGACACTTAAGTGCCACTGAGCAGTAAAGCAAAAGATACAGTCTTGGGTCTGAGTCTGTCCAAATCAGCTATCTAACATGACCATGTGAAATGTTCTCATGTGAGGAGTGGAGATAATTATTTTGGGGGGACTATATGAAGCTCAGAATGAATTATGCATATGATGTGCAACATGAAAGGTAGTGCTGGTGTAAATCCATCCACGAGGATGCTTTACTATAAAACAAAACGCAATATGGAATGCACACAATTTATTAAGAAATAGAGGTACAACTTCCCATAACCAGGAAGCCAAGTCCAAGTGACTGTGGAAGAAGAAAGCAGGATTACAGGAACTAGAGTGCATGGGAAAAGAAAATAGGATTGAGAAGATTTTCAGCAGTGGCAGAAAACCTATGTAACAGTTATAAGAATTCCCTTTTCTAAGTTACACAGAGGGAGAGGATGAAGACCTGGACTACGGAGTTAAAGCAGAGACCATAGCTCCATATTGAGGATGACACATGTTCCACACACACGGGAGGAAGAGTATTGGGGACGTCCTCTGCTCTCCATCCAGCTGATTCATAGGCTTGTATCAGGCATACCAGTCACAGAAATTAAGGTACCGCATGCTGGTTGTCAGCCAAGTCGAGGAAATGAATTTGTTTCCAAAATGGTGGGTCAGATAACTGATGGTTTATGAAGATGGTGGTCCTTTGACAAGGTGATCAGCAGCAGGAAGGCTGACAACAGCTGGACACACAGCAAGGGCGGCAGCAGCAGGTAGGCCGGCAGCAGGTGGTTTTACAGCAGGTGGTCTGACACCATTTTGGACAGCAGCAAGGCTGGCAGCAGCTGGATCCACAGCATGGGCTGCAGCAAGGCTGGCAGCAGCTGGATCCACAGCATGGGCTGCAGCAAGGCTGGCAGCAGCTGGTCACACAGCATGGGCTAGAGCAAGGCTGGCAGCAGCTGGATCCACAGCATGGGCGGCAGCAAGGCTGGCAGCAGCTGGATCCACAGCATGGGCTGCAGCAAGGCTGGCAGCAGCTGGATCCACAGCATGGGCGACAGCAAGGCTGGCAGCAGCTGGACACACAGCATGGGCGGCAGCAAGGCTGGCAGCAGCTGGATCCACTGCATGGGCTGCAGCAAGGCTGGCAGCAGGTGGATCCACAGCATGGTCTACAGCATGGCTGGCAACAGCTAGATCCACAGCACGGGCTGCAGCAAGGCTGGCAACAGCTGGACACACAGCATGGGCGGCAGCAGCAGCTGGGTCGGCAACAGCTGGACCCAGAGCAGCTGGGCTGGCAGCAAGGGGAGCAGCACATGGTGTCAGGTATAGAAGGTGAGTTTCTGTTCAGAGGTGAGTTGTCAGATTCTGAGGACTTCTTCCGTTCTGGGGTTTTTATACACTGGGTCCCCAATGTTGGCACCAATCAGTAAGACTTTCCTTGTTTTTGTTTATGTTGTTTTGGTAATCACAGGGAAATATGCAAAGATAAAGTTCTTTCCTACCTGATAGGAATGTTTAGAAAGTTAGTGTTTAATGTGTTCCTTAATTGAGAATAAGTCATAGTAACGTTTTCAGATAAAAGGAAGGTGGTCCCATCATCAGGATGGTTCCTGCTTTGATCACATTCTGGTCATATGATAGAGTCCCTTGTGGCCTCTTGAGAGTTAGTATATGTGTTTTGTGTATTCAGCTTTACTTAGTTTTGGAAGTATCCCTGTTTAAACGACACGATGCTGGTATGTTCATGGGGTTAAACTGACACCATGCCTGAGTCCAAGTCTGTTTGCCCACAAAAGCCTGATTCAAGCCTGTGACAGGAATCTCTCTCTGCAGCAACCCACCCCACCTGTGTATCCAGGTTGGGTCACAGACACTTGGGTAGAGGATGTTTGGCATATTCTTTGGCATATGCACAGCAGGACCAAAGCAGGTGGGTGGAAGCAGAAGCTGGGACAGAGAAGGCATCAATCATTTCACTTCCTGGGTGACAAGAGTCCTTATTGCCCAGGACTAGAGGGTTTCTCAGGATGCGGGATTCCCCAGAGGTGTGACTCGGGCAGTTTGGGCAAAACAGGATGAGTTGGTGACTCCAGTCCTAACCTTGTTAACCAGCAGATTCAGTGACCTCACATCAGT